ACTGGGTCAGCAGACGGTGTAATGAGGCCTAGAGCACACGGTTATATTAACATTTTTTATGTGGTGCAGCAACTAATGTTAAAGCTTGTCTTCATCAGAATAAAAAAACATCCATTAGTTTTATTCTCATGAAGACTTGCTTTGTATAAAAACAGCCATTTCTCAAGGCTCTTAACTTCATTTGATACCTTTTGGATCATGGGTTTTGTCAAAAAATACTTCTCCGTCTCTTGTCTTTAATTTGTCACCTGTCTGTGTTTTAGATGAGACGGTTCATGCAGCTGCAGTGGGAAGTGGAGCTACCATAGGCTCCCAGAAGTCAGAACTATCTTGGCAGTTGGAAATAGAACAGGTTTATCTGTGGATTCAAACAAAGTGTGTTTGTGTGTTTGCAGTAAGCAAGTGGAGAAGGACAAGAGGGAGTTGGCTCGTCAGTATGGGATGGTGAGGAGTGAGGTGAGCGGAGGAGAGATTGCTGAGGAGCTTGAGAAGGAGAGACGCTCCTTCCAGCTGAGCATGTGTGAGGTCAGTGACTTTACCGCCTCCTTGTTCCTCATCTCTACGTGAAGTACAGCCCAATTCCCTTGTTTGTTCACTCCTCCATCTTGAAAGACCCAGTGCTCGTTCCCTTGTTTGTTCAAACCTCCTCCATCTTGAAAGACCCAGTGCTCTCATTTCTGCTCTGAGGAGCCACGACACCATCTTTCATGGATATCATCTGTCTGACACACCCTTTCATTAGAAATCTGTTAGTTGGTTGGTTGGATGCTGCAGCTGATCAGGCTGGTCTGATCTCCCCCCTCTTTCCTTTCCTTCCCTCCTGATCCTCCTCATGTCTTCACTTTCTCCTCCTGCTGCACCTAAAAAAAACCCCTCCTTTTTCCCTCTCAGTATCTGATCAAGGTCAACGAGATAAAGACAAAGAGAGGAGTCGATCTGCTGCAGAACCTCATCAAACACTACCACAGCCACAACAAGTGAGAAAACACACACACCATCAAACAAACAAACAAACAGACCTATCTACAGTAAACTGGTTGTATTTACTGTATCTGTGTATGTGTAGTTTCCTGCAGGAGTGCGTCTCCACCACACAGAGGTTGAAGCAGTACATGGAGGAGCTGAACGGCGTCCTGACCGTGGTACAGCAACAAATCACAGAAGTTCACTTTCTCTAGGGGAAACTAACAGACTATTAGCGTTTATTTATTTACTGTTTTACTGCATTCACAGTGCACAGATACAGTAACGATGTCAGTTTAATTTGATTGTTAATGTTTTGACATGGTTGTTAAAGTTATTGCAGCTGTTATTGTTAAAGCCAAACCTACAAAAGTACATCCACAGTACAGACTCATTCAAATCAAATCAAGTCAAATCAAATTTTATTTGTATAGCACCAAATCACAACAAAAGTCATCTCAGGACACTTTACAAAGTAAGGTCTAGACCTTACTGTTATCAATATTATTACATAGGGAAAACCCAACAAATCCCCCTGAGCAGCACTTGGCGACAGTGGGGAGGAAAAACTCCCTTTAATGGAAGAAACCTCCGACAGACTCCGGCTCTTGGTGGGCGGCCTTCTGCCTCGACCGGTTGGGGTGAGTGGATAGAGGAGAGACAAAAGAAAAAAAACAACAAAAGAAGAAAAGCAACAAGACACAACAATCAAACACTGATCAGGTCGATGTGGCTGGTGACTGCTCGTCAGA